GATCTAATGGGACGTGAGGAGGTAATTGGCAGGAGGCGGGCTCTCAAGTACCGAGATCCACTACCATGAAGGGCTTTATAGGTGGTAAGTAGCACCTTGAAGCGCACCCGGAGATCAACAGGTAGCCAGCGCAGAAGTAAAGCCATTTATAAAAGCACAAGAGGCAGGCAGGCAGGTGAGTGCTTTTGTGCAGTGACATCGAACTCGCTGCGTAATGCAGCGCCAATTCCCATTCCCTGAAATGCAGGCCCAAGGACAGCCCTGTTCAGTCCTGCATCTCTTCTCCATGCACAGCACACGCAGAGTTGTATCAGAGGAGAAATGCAGGCAAAAGGCTCTTCTCTTCTTTCTCTGCCCCCCTTTTGCTCCCCTCCCCCCAGCCTGACATGCTTGTATGCCTCCTGAATGAGCGAGCGACTGAGCAAAAAATCCTTCCTGTCTTTGGGACGTTAGACTGAATTTCACATCTGCCAGAAGTGTTAAGCTGACTGGCGGCCAACAGAGCCCCAGGCAGAATTGCGCCCTGCAAGGGGGCCAGCTCCAGCACTCCTCTGCCACCACCCTTGCCTCTTAGCTCCCCCCTGCCACCCCCTTGGTTCTTAGCGCCCCTGCCATCCCCCTTGCCTTTTAGTGCCCCCCCCCAAGTCATCCCCCCCAGCGGGCAGTACCACCCACTTTGGGAACCACTGCTTTAAAGCAATTCTGTTGCTTTCGTGTTTCTATGCTGTAGATTGAAGCAATATCAGATTCATGTTTTAATAAAACACTTATTCTGTAAACATCTCAAGGAGCAAGTAAGACAAGCTCTCCAGTAATGAATCAAAATGGAAATACCTTTGTCAGCATAAAAGATTCCAGTGAAAAGAACAGCATATGTTATTTGCCCATTGGGTTCATTCAGAGGAAACCATTTCACTTTAACTTCTTTGGCTCCACGATTAATAACAAACAGTTCAATGTTTCCTTTAGGTACATCTTCAGTTGTATGAGCTTTTACCTGGGTATTTCATAAAACAGAGAAGAAAGAGAATATTGTGTTGTAAACTACCAGTTCTCAGGGTTCCAAGTAACACCCCCAACAAAAGAATGCAAAAGATGGCTTCCAGGCCTGACACCAGTGCTGCACCTATCATGTTGTTCTGATCCGGCTCCCAAACTTGTCTAGTATGCTGTTTTCAACTAAACATCCCCTTTATTAGGAGAGCAGCCCTGGCAAATAGCCTGTCTGTCTGTCTCTCTCTCTCTCTCACACACAACACAGCAGGCTAACGAAATCTCAAAGTGCCTGTGGAAAGCAAAGCTCATTCTCTTTCCCCCAGAAATGGTCCCAACACATTAGGAGTCTCTCTCTCTACCCACACACTCATAAAGGAAGTCCTAGAAAGTGCGGCATACACAAACTCGCTCACTCAGAAGGCGCATCAGACTCTCAGCACTGCAGATTCCAAGAAAGAATTCCAATAAAGTTCCTGACAGGATTCAGACGTTCAGAATATCAACGGCTAACCAATAGGGAGATGAATAGTTGTCTGTGACACCGATCTGTCTCCACCCCTTGCCTTTTATCCCCAGAGCTAGGGTAGGGTTTATCTAGCAGCCATGGCTCTTCTGTCCTGAGGCCCTCCCTATCACTTCCTGCTGCTCCCCCCTTTCTGTGTATCCGCGCGTCAGGCACCAGATCCAGCTGTTTCTCCTCTTCTTCATTGCCCACCTCCTGACCTGGGAGCTGTTGCCTTTCCATCTGGGGACTGATGGATGCTCCAGGCTCCACCTCTGCCTCTAACTCTCCCTCTCCCTCTTCCCCCTTGGGTTTCTCCAATTGCCTTGATGCTGGCCTTGACTCCCACTTTGCCTCCTCATCTGATTTGGCAGCTGGAGGGGCTGTGGCCGATAGGCCACAACACATGTATTTTCTTCTACTCTCTTTTCTACACCTAATGTAATTTCTATACCCAGATACATTGCTAAGAAAGATATTACACTGACCTTTGACCATAAACAAACTAAAACTATCCAAATAATAGAATTTCTCTAGAACAGGGTAAGATGGACAGGAAACAGGAAACCCAAATATTTTCTTTGTATTTCTGGAGTATGAAAGTGGAATGAATATTCATAATATCAATTATCATTAATATGATTTGTTGCCATTATTTCCTACTGAAAAGAATAGAATAGAATAGAATAGAATAGAATCATAGGCTGGAAGGGACCTTGAAGGTGTTCTAATCCAATCTCCTGTCCAAGTCCAGAGATCTTAAAGCATCCTGGACAAATGGTTATTCAATCTTTTCTTGAAAATCTCCAGTGATGGAGCAGCCACAACTCCAGGAGGCAAGCCATTCCACTGATTAATTGTTCTCACTGTCAATACATTTCTTTTTAATTCCAGGCTGGATCTCTCTTTAATGAGCTTCCACCCATTGCTTCTTCTCCTGCCCTGAGGTACTTTGGAGAATAAGTCGACCCTTTCTTCTCTGTGACATCCTCAAACGTACTGGAAAACAGCTATCATGTTACCCTAAACCTTCTCTTCATTAGACTAAACACTCCTACAGCCACTCCCATAGCCATTCATTGTACACTTTAGCCTCCAAACCTTTCTCATGTTTGTTATTCTTCTCTGTACTCTTTCTAGGACCTTAACATCTTTCTTCTATCATGGCAACCAGAACCAGACACACTATTCCAAGTATAGCCTTACATGTGCAGTACAGAGTGCTACTATCACTTATCTTGATACTGTCCCTCTGTTAATGCAGCCTACAACTGCATTGGCTTTTTTTTGGCAGCTACTGATGCAGCAGAGGTTGCACAGGTAAACCCACCAGTGGCTGGCCAGGTTAGGTGGTCTTAATAGAATGGACCTTATAAATTCATTTTAGTTTGGCTTTTATTCTAGTGCCCTGGAGTCCCAAAGTTGACTTTTAGCTGGAGTGAACTCTTCTCTCCAACTTCCTCATAAGTATTACAAATAGGGCTGAACAGTGTGGCAAGACTCTGTAAAGGAGGGGCACGGGAAGCCAGACGTGAGGGAGA